CTTGCATACAGGATAGCCTGGTCAGGTGTACCAGGTGGGACATGGGATGTTTAATCCAGGGGAAAATAAGTCAACCAGTTTGACTGGAATGTAGAATACATGAAGGGAATGATTGTGAAATATCCAGAAAGGTAGAACTGATCATAACAGGCTTTCAGTGCTAAACTGAGGAGTTGGTATTTTATACTAAGGGCAACAAAGAGCTTCTTTGAGAGCAGGGGAGTGATAGGTGCTTTTGGAAAATGATTTTGGCACCTGGATTGCAGAGGGGAAAGACTGGAAGCCAGGAGTCCAATTTGGAGGCCACTGGAATAGATCGGGCAAGAGGTGATAAAGGCTAGAATTGGGTGGTGGTCCTGTGGCAGGTATGAAAGTTGTCATGGCAGTATGATTAACAAGATTTGAACCAATTGGATAGAGTGGGTAAGGAAGATGGCTGAGTTGAAGATATAACAAACCTAGGTGATTGGAAGGAGGGTAGTAGAAATAAGGCTGGTTGAATGAGTCATAGATTAAAAAGTGTTGGATTACAGAAAAGTCAGCTTTATTTTTCCTCTTACCCTGACAAGGGTTCCAGTGTTTAAAATGGAAAATTCTATAGGTTGAGGATCAAATGCAATAAACTGGTCAGTGATCTGACCTTTTATCATCCTAAGAACAGGTGGATTCTGGCCAAGGACTTTAGGTCTTTTTTAGAGGAGTTTTAGCTTCAGAATAGTGAGGAATAAATTAAGAAATTAAAGGAAAGTATAGTCTTGGAAACAGTTACTTTATTATGATCCAGTAACCGCTGAGTTTATATTTAAAGCTCAAGCTAATCTGTAACGCTTTTTCACTTGTTGGCAAGGGTTCTAAAAAGATCCATGACTCTGGGATGATACAGAAACTAAATACCTATGTGACCGTAGGCAAGTGGTTTCACTTCTGGGCTTGTGCGCCTCACCTTGAATTAGTTCACCTCTAAGGACTTTTCCAGCTTGTTATCTTCTAATCCAATGATCCGTGAAGATTCCCAGAAGGGACAGGGCTGAGTCTTTGGCCCAATTCATATTGACATGAACCCAAAGGTTCAAGGTCCAGCTAGAACTAGACCAGACCTGAGATTATAACTGTCAAACACCATCTCATTTCCTCTATATTCATAGGCTTATAGAAGTTCAGTTTAGAGATCATATAGTCCAATTCACTCTTTTTTACAGAAGAGGAAACTGAGATACAGATGGATGGAATTATCAAGAAGACTGTGTTCAAAAAGGCTTAAGGGCAAAGGATATTTAGAGGGAAGAAGACAGAAAGAAAGAAGGAGATTCAAAGAGAGTGGAAGAGAAATCTAAAGAGGAAGGACAGGGAGATGCCCAAGCAAGAAAAGAAGGCTGTTTCTAGAGTAATTCTAGAGCCAAGGAGAAGGCATGTTTCAAAGTATCTCTTTCTAGTCATACCTCGTCATGACTGCCTGCTGTTTGCATTGTGTTTTTTGGCTTTGAGTCACTGGAACACATCCAGAAATGTGTAGAATAGAAAGCATGCTCATCAGACATGGAGCACCCTATTGGGGCAGCAGGGGGAGGAGGCATAAGCAGCCCTTTAGTGAACACGATCAGATTTCAAAATGACCTTGGTAACTTGAAGAAGTCATCTGAAGAAGAGAGAACAAGTACATTAAACACTAGTACTGGGTAGCTTACATGGGTGGGGAGGGGGAAGGAAATGTTCGTATCTCAGAGGGGTTTCTGTGCAAACAAAAACAATCTGGTGTAATAAATAATCATAATAATAGCTAACACTTATATAGTACCTTAAGGTTTGCAAAGTGCTTTACAGATATCTCATTTGAGCCTCACAACAATCTGAGAGGTAGGTGCTACTATTATTCCCATTTTATAGATGAGGAAAATGAGCCAGACAGATGTTAAGCCACTTGCCCAGGGTCACATAGCTAATAAGTTTCAGAGGCTGGATTTGAACTTCCTGATGTCAGGTCCAGTGCTCTAACCTCTTCACCATCTCACAGACTTAATCTTAGACATGGAGGTGACCATGATTTTCTATGTAGGTGGTGGTGCTTTTTAAAATACCTTCTTATAGAACAATGGAACCACAATGGAACCACATTCACTTCATGAATGTTTGTTGAATTGAATGATAAATTGCTTTTACTGAATATAGTAGTGACAAGAGATGAAGGAGGATTTGTAGTCTTGTGCAGTTAACTCTGAAATTGTGGCAATGAGATATGTTGTTACAATGTTCTCTAATGTATATAAGAGTGTTCCCAGGGACAGATCCCCTTACTGGATGTTCCAGGTATCACTAAACATTTCTTTTTTTCTGTTTTGTGAGGTCATAACTCCATGTTGCCCTTTCATGGAATCTTATTTCCCTGGGCCCAACTTTCCTTGCTCTTTTTCCTTTTGCCATGGAGGCCCCATTCAAAGTTAGGTCCCAAACTTGGAGGCAAGACCAGTTCAGCCTCCAAGGGAGGTGCCCAGCCTTTGAACCAACTTTCATGGTCTACCTGTATGTCTTCATGAAGGCATCAATCCTGTTATGTAAGCACATGATCACTCCAGACCAAGAGCCCTCACTGTCTGCTTTCTTATCCACATCGAGGGAGAGAGAGAGAGAGAGAGACAGACAGGCAGAGAAAGAGATGGAGAGAGAGAGAAAGACAGAGAGAAAGACAGAGACAGAGAGACAGATACAGAGAGAGAAGGAGAGATTTCCATTGGTTGCTAGGCAGCCACTATTGACCATCATTGACCATCACTAGAAAGGGTTTCTGAGGCAGAGAGTAGGAAGCTTTCCATCCTGAGATATTTTTAGAAAACCATTGATAGCTACCAGGTCAAGAACAGTTTAAACCAGATGAGCTTAGGCTGTCTCTTATGATTTTGTGTTTCTGATATAAAAGGTAATCCCCTGTTTTGCCTGAAAGTCTTTCACTGCATGTATGTGGTTGCCATGTATGGGGACAGGGTAGGATGGAGATGCCTGTTTTGTAGCAAAGTCTACACATATTTGAATAAATACAGGCAGAGCACCTTTGGGTGTCTAGATGTGCTTGTGGAAAAGTTTGAATAAAAGCATCCAAGAACCAGGCATGATGAGTATTAAAAACTTAACCTATCACTATGCAATTATGTAGTCACTTTACCGCTTCCTACTGTATTGACGTCAGGAAAACTCTGGAATCAGTACTCTACCAGACACTGCATGCTTCCTGTTTTTGTTTGCCTTGTTGTGAGGGCTTGTGAGTTGTTTTGTTGTCCGCAGTGGTGGTTTTGTTATCATTTGGGTTTTGTTCTACATTGTTTCTGTGGAGTGCAGAGGGATGAGTATTTCCCATCAGAAGACTTGGGTTCAAATCTATACTCTACTATTAACTATCTATATGACATTCCACAAATCATTTAAACATTCTAGGCCTAATTTTCCTCATCTATAAAGCAAGGGTGTATGTGTGGGGGAAAACAGTGGACTAAATGACCTGTAAATTCCCCACTCTCTCTAAAGTTGTGATCCTATGTTTCTCTAAATAAAGTCTGGAGTCACTCTCTGAAGAGGGAGAAGAGAATTACTTCTTTAAAAACAATCTCAAAGGACACAAAATTTTTAGGTTTAGAGTAAAAGTTTGCTAGGGTCTAAGTGTGCCAGAACCTGTTTGGCTCCTTGCTTTTAACTGTAGTAACTGTCTTACAGTTGCCAAAAAGCCCATTTAGGTGTGTGGTTGGGGGTGGGGGAAATGTATGCAAAGTGCTTTGTAAACTTTAAAGCCCTCTACTAATAGCAGTTCTCAATATCATTACTCATCTAATTGGCTTTTAGCAGATTATTCTGGACTCATTTTTTGTAGGCCACTCCATACCAATACCCCCTCATTGAGTCAGTCTATGAAAATGTAAAAACAGAGACATTTTTCTTATTGGCAATTGAGTAAGACTTCCTAGAGACTCAGATGGAATTCTTTTAGAAGAAAAAAGCTGTTCTGGACCCTATTAAAAGTTTGTACCTAGAATATAGTACTACCACCCTTTTAGGCAGAATGGATTAATACATAAAGTACTGGATTTGCAGTCAGAAGATGTGGTTTTGAATCTTGAAGCTTAACTACTTTTGTAACCTTGGACAAGTTTTTTCACCTGTCTGGTCTCAGTAGGGGCTATGGATTGGGGGGAAATTGTACTAAATCTTCTCCGAGATCCTTTCCAGCTCTAAAAGTTATGAATTGTAAGATCGGTGTAATATTTATGACTAATACTTCTATTAATGATGTCATTGTACTCTCCTGGGGGCTTAATTGCAAGAATATTTCACAGACTGAAAATGAACACAAAGTATGTTTAAAGCAATGAAATAACAAAATATGTTGTTACAATGTTGTGTGCATGAGTGTGTGCACACACAAACGTGCGTGTGTGTGTTTTTTTCTGAGAACAGATCCCTTCATTGAATGTTACAGATATTACTAAATGTTTCTTTAAAAGTTGCCACTCCTTAATTCTTTTAAAAAAAGATACAAAATAGCACCCTGTCCCCCAAAGGAGAGAGATAACTGGTAAGACAGGGCTCCCCAACCTTAATTCTCAACTCCTCCCCATGCACCAATCCCAGCCTTGCTCTGAGCGAGTGGCTATGTGACTGTTAACAAGACAGAGGTAACAGGTTCAACCCAACTGTTCCATCTCTCTGTTCTGTCAGCATTGTAGGTCAGTGTTGTTCACTCATGCTATCCATAGCTGTTTCTCCAGTTTTCCATTCCATTGCCTAGTGCTTGCTCCCTAACTCTTCCCATCATTGCTTTGTGTTTCTGCTACAAAAGCTGGTGGTGTGTGCAGTGTCCAGTGTTCAGTTCATGACCATGGGCCATGGGAGGCCTCATGGTCTTGTGAAAGGGATGGGGTTTGGTCTATGTGTTTCTGCACCGCGCTCTTTATTTTTGAATTCTGACCAATATGACATCTGCTAAAATGTCTCCCTTATAATTTGCTTGGTGATCACAGCCTTCACATCATTCATTGAGCACAGGACCAGATCTCACAGAGTCTGAAAAGAGCTATGTGGTAAGACTGCCTGTTGAATAAGATTGTAGCTTGTTTAAAGAGAATACTTATTCCATCAAGTGATGGCTTGTCAGCTTGTAAAGCTACTGGCTACAGGAATGATAGTACTGTGGTTTAAAAAAAATGCAGGTTTTAGGGCTGCAAACAAAAGAGAGGAACTTAGCAGCAATAACATAGCCACTATATATGAGTGGGATTGGATTAAATTCTCTAGTGCATGACTGGGTATCTCTCCTCACCTCCCCCTCCTGAAGTTATCCTGTTTATAACAGCTGCTCCCTGCTTACAGATTCTGCTGCTGCCTCTGCCACTAGTTTGAATGTTTGTACTAAATCCACCCTTTTTCTGTATCTCACCTGTTTTTCCATGCTTACACCCGGATCCCTCCTGCTCTTCACTTCTGGATATGTTGTTGACTGGATCTTCAACTCTGTTGTTTTCCTGGACTTCATCTGGAATGTCACATCTCTTCCTATCTCTTTCTCTCTTTTTTCCCCTTGTTGACCATTTTATGGGGGTTGCTGGATTTCCTGGGGCCACCTCACAGGAAGCAGTTTGCAATGAGATCATAAACATTGCCGAAAAGTCTGTTCATTACTGCAGTACTGTTTCTCATCCTCTTGACTTTCGTCACAAGGTGTCCCCTACTGACAATAAATCATCTCTCATCATTTCTCAGCAACCTCAAGCCCAGCAGCGAAGAACCACTTCTGACAGAAGTCAGAACCTACAGGATTTGTAAGTCACTTCAACCCTCTATATCACTGCTTTATCTGGGTTATAGTACAGGAGCTGACTTGCTTATATGCCTGCAAGACCCTAATATTGACAGAGAGAGAAAAAGAGAGAGAGAGACAGAGAGAGAGAGACAGAGAGGGAGGGAGGGAGAGGGAGAGAGAGAGAGAAAGAGAGAGAGAGCGAGAGAGAGAGAGAAGGAAGAGGAGGAAGAAAGAGAGAGAGAGAGAAGGAAGAGGAGGAAGAAAGAGAGACAGAGAAACAGAGATTAGCTGGTCTGTGTGGTGCGGCAGCAGCTACAGGGGCATTTCTGAGAATTTTGAGTAAAGTGACTCCATTTCCAAAAGATGAGAAGCCATCCTACATCCTGTCTTCACAGCCACTAGGCAGAGGAGAAGAGAGGATATGTCCCTAAAGTGAGGCACTTACTTCATACCTTTCTTTTGGTCCCAAGACAAGTCCTCTAGGACAGTATTGTTGGGGGAAAGTTATCAGGAAGGTCACAGATCAGGAGATACCTTTAATTTAGAATTTTCCCTGGTATCTCAGCTAGATGCTGCTTTTCTTCCATAATTAGAATTTCAAGATATGGACAGATTGCTTAGCATAGTAACTCACCTTATAAATTGCCACACATTTTGCACATAATGATTTATATTGTAAAACATGAGTTAGAATGGCATAATAGATAGAGAGTTGGCCAGAGGGTCAGCAAGACCTGGGTTCAAATCCCCCTTCTGATTTGTGTGTCACCTGTGTGACCCTAGGTGAATTATTTAACCTCTTAGAGAGCCAAACAACTTTTTAAGACTTTAAGTTGTGGAATGGGTGCTGATCTGTATTTGTAGAAAGAATTTCTTCACTGGGTGTTCCTTGTACTTATGAAAATACGTATCACTCCTCCCTCTCCTTTCTTGCTTTTTTCCTTCCTCTCCTCCTACACAGAAAAAAAAAATGCACAAAACAATGCATTAACTCACAGTTTATCTGCAACTACCAAGAGGTCATTGACCCAAGAATATAGATGGCCCAAAACCTTTTTGAGCTTATTTTTCTACCTGAGACCATGTTTTTAAAAATGAGACAGAATTTTAGTAGCCTTGGCTTAGATATATTAATTCATGTTTGAAGATAAGCATGGAACAATTTTTTCTATGTTGACCGTCAGGTACCTGAGTTCTGTCAGAGCAAGGCCTTCCTGGGGATATTTCCTGAAACAGCTCTCCATGACCTCATAGTCTCAGTATCGTTTGTCAAAAGAGGCCTTGCCACCCCCTGCCGATGGGAAAACAACTGTAAATGCTAGGATACCAGGGAAGCACATAGATTAAGCAGTTTACTTCCCTATTGATAATAGTGAAACAATAAAAACTAGCAAACCAATCTTTGATTAACTAGGATGATTTTTAAAAGGACCATCTTTGAGTCATCCCAGTGGGGTTCAAGTTACAAGTATATTATAATCTCTTTCTCTTTTAGGTATAGCTACCAAGCATTATATAGCTATAAACCACAGAATGATGATGAGTTGGAACTCCGAGATGGAGATATTGTGGATGTCTTGGAAAAATGTGACGATGGTTGGTTTGTTGGTAAGTAACTTTATCATCCTTTGATCTTTTTTTTTTTTATGTGAGGCCATCGGGGTTAGGTGACTTGTCCAGGATCACACAGCTAGTAAGTGTTATGTGTCTGAGGCTGGATTTGTACTCAGGTCCTCCTGATTCCAGGGTCAGTGCTCTATCCACTGCGCCACCTAGCTGCCCCGCTTTGATCTCTTTCATAGAATCTTAAAGTAGGTGAGAACCATAGGGGGTTTAACCTCCTACCCCATGGAGAATCTCTGACAATGAGTCATCTTGAACCTACTTGAACAAATCCAGTGATGGAAGATTCATCACTTCCTGAGGCAGCCCATGGGGCATCTCTGATTGTTAGGAAGTACTTTCTTATGTTGAAATCGGTCCTAAATAGGCTTCCTGTAATTTATGCTAATGGGTCTAAGTTTGGCCTCTATAGCCACACAGAATAAATCTAATCCCTTTCCCATGTGGTTACTCTTCAAATACTTGCTCATTTCTTTTCAACAAACTTCCACATTTCACTAAAACACCATGTTAGTTAGTGTACGGATATCAACACAAGAAGTGTTGACCTGCTGCAAAGTCCAGGCACATTTCTAAAAGTTCAAACACGTTATCATTTATTCCTGGTCACTGATAGATTTAATTAAAGCAAACATCTTACTTAAAATAAACTAATGATTAGTTTTTACAAAAGAAATCCAAACTGGAACCTAAAGCTAACTAATGTGTTGCCTGGCACTATTTTTTTGTGCACTTATGTATGTGTGTGTATGTGCTTTGACCTATAGATGTATGAATGCAACATCCCAAAATGCTTACTTTAATTTTTAAACTTTAATATCTTAAATAAGCTGTTATTTATTACTAGCTATGTGACCCTGGGCAAGTCACTTAACCCCAAGCGCCTCACCAAAAAGGAAAAAAAACAAAGCTGTTATTTAATAGCTTAAATAAGCTGGTAAAGTTTAAAATTGTACTAAGTCTTTTGTGACTCCCTGTATGTTATGAGAGAATCAAAAATATCTAATGGAAAGTCAAATATTAGGTCACTGAGTAGTTGAGGCTCTTCCTGTACAAGAATTTTCTCATCCCTAAAATAGATTTTAAAAATATTTTTAATATTTAATATTTTTGAATATTTTCTCCCTAAAGATTAATTAAAGCAATCAAGTATTTTTGAATTCCTTGAAGATAAGCACTACTAGAAAATGTCATTTCTTATGTTTTAACCCAGATTCCTGGTGTCCACCTTCTCTGAAAACTCTAGATTTAAGAAGACTTTGAAACTTTATTGGGACAAAAGTTCTTGAGGGTCTTTCCAGCACCTCTCAGATCACACATGCAGGGGACCACTTTACTCGCCTATTCTGATTAAGACCACCTCTGAAGCTAAGATTAGCCCGACGAGCTCTTTACTCAGAGACATAAGAAATATCCATTTCCAATCCTAGGGGAAAGGGTAGTGATTCAGATCCAAAATGGAGGCAATGTTGCAGCTAGACCGTTTACGGCCTGTGGAGACAATGAACAGGAATCTAGGCTGACCAGTGGAAGATTGACGAAGCAATTCTGGGCTTAGGACTGGACCTTGCACAGCTCAGAGTGATTTCTCCCCCTCCAGTGAGGAAGGGTACTGAGCTAATAGGCTTTAAAATGGTATTTTTATCATGGTGATGCTCTTGGTTATTTAAAATAGAAAAAAAAAAGACCCTCTGGTATGTAGTGGGAAGCATGTAGAAATAAGAGTCAGACCTGAGTTCAAGTTTTAGTCCCACCACCTATTAGGAAGCAAGTCACTTAATTTAGTTTCCTCACCTATAAAGTGGGAATGATTATGTATATACTGCCCACATTGTAGGATAAGTATAAAGCTCAAATGAGATCACGGATGTGAAAGAGCCTTATAAACTGTAGAAATGTACATGATAATTTCATTGTTTTTTTGAAAGGAATAACAAGGAATATATTTGAAAGGAATAGCAAGTTGTGCATAGTAGATTTGCAGTTTCACATACCATCATCCTTTTTGTTGTACTATGTTATGGAAATGCTTGTTTTATTCCATATGTTAAAAATATGATTAAAACAAAAAACAAACTATATAAATATCAGGCAGTATTGGCATTTGGGTATGATATGGATAGAGCACCCGGCTGTGGATTCAAGAAGACTTGGTGTCCAAACACCACCTAGGCCATTTAACTAGCTGTGATGTTACTGTAGTCTTGTCTCAGTGATCCTAGAGCTAATTAAACTGAGCCAGGAACTCTTCCCAGAATTTCCAAAACCAAAAAGCCTGTCCTACCCAAAGTAAGAAAGTCCTACCTCCCCACTCACACTCACTTTCTTGTTTCCTGTTTGTTTGTTTGTTTGTTTGTAGGTACTTCCAGAAGAACAAGACAGTTTGGTACTTTTCCTGGCAACTATGTAAAACCTTTATATTTATAAGAAGCCTGAGAACCTGCGATTGTTCTTTATTGGTGGATGAAACACAGAACACAAAGCAATCTCTTTATTTCAATGTTGAATCAATAAGTCGGTTAGTGCAAGGATGAAGTAAGAAGTCTTAGAGCGACTTGGGGAAGTGTTGGATTTAAAGCGTGAGCCTCCTAGGGCCTTGCACAGTGCTCGGCTCATAGCAGACTTCAGCAAATGTTTTCTTGAATGAATGAATGTATGTATGTACGAATGAGCTAGGGCCCAGGTGTTTGCTGGGCAAGGAGAAGCAAGCCAGACTTCTAGTTTACATAACTGCCTTTTTAAGCCCCACTAGACCTCCCTCTCACCCTCCTGTGGTGAGCTGACATGGAACAGAAGGAAAGAAGCAAGTAGCCCCTCATCTTCTGTGTTTGGAGGCCAATTCAGTTCTAGCTCAGTCCTGGGAGTGTTGGTCTAAGTTGTGTGAACCTGAGCGATTCATTTGAGTCTGAAGCAACCCAGAGAAGACCCAAGGAAGCCAGATCTGGTCCAGTCTTACATTAAAGTTTGGGGGTCTGATTTCTATTGGGTTTGGGAAATCAGTTTGATCGCAAACTGCTGAACTTTCCCCAAACCCGTGCCACTCTAATTTGCCCCAGAGCAGGTTTGGATGACCAGCTATCCATTTGAATGCCCCAGAACTCATCAGACCAGACTTTCCAGGGCTATTCTGGACCAGACCTGTCCCAACTTGGACCCACACTCTTGAGACTCTAGTGGGAAGGGTAGGGGTAGTAGAAATAAGGTACCATTTGATGTGGGACTACACTCTTTCACCCCCATCACCACCACATATCCCAATGTTCTGACAATAAAGCATGTAGCATTTGCTTGTGAAAGTTGGAGGAAGTAGATCAGAGGGACACGTTGGATTTGCATCTGATTAAAGTAAAGTTGATCTGTAGCTTATTGGGGTAACATGCAGCCAGTCACTATCCACATATACATACACATATATGTATATATCCTTGGAATTTTACTAGGTTACCTTCAGAGAGACCAGGTTTTAATTTGTTTGATGACTATCACCAATGTTTCCTAGCATATCATATGTAGAGCACTGGAATGTTCAAGGATATTTCTTACAGAAAACAAAGAATTGCATTCAAAGGAAACTTTCAGAGTTATTTTGATCTAGGCAAATCAATCAAAAATCACTTTGATTTGACCTGTCCTTAGAGCAGAGTGGGAAGTTGCACTGAGCTTATACTCTGCAGGCTGAATTTTATGCCACCATCTACTGGAGGACCTGAGTTCATTGTCCCTCTGCCTGTATGGGAGGAGTTAATCCCTCTGAGCCAGAATCAGGGAGGGAGCCATCCAAACACTGCATTTGCACCAGGCAGCCCGTGATTGTGGATGCATAAATAAGGGCTAACAGAGCCATATACATGAAAGGAGTTCTCTGCTGGGAAGGTAGAGTAACGTCTCCTTGAGTTCACCCATTGCTCCCTCCAGGTATGGGTGGTCCCTGGCATTGCTGCGGTTCCAGCAGAGAATGTAAATACAGGAAGCTTCAGGTCTCTGGACGTATACAGTCACTCCATCGTTACCCTAGCCCTGTGTGTACTCTGCAGCTCCACAATTTATTTCACCCCCTATCCCCCATATAGGACACATCCTAGGCAAAATTGGGAGGGGGTAAATAGTTCCCATTTTGTACCCCATTCCATATCTCAGTGGTGTCTTCTTACCCCCAGGGCCCTAGTACTTCTCCTCTATCTTCTACCTTATCAAAGCCTGTTCTCAGGAAAGAACTGACAGATTCATTCACAACGACCTGTAAATGACTAGTAAGATTCAATCTGTTACCTCTTCCAAGGAAATTTGCACTTTAACAAGGCACAAAGCCTTAATCAAAGAAATGAAGCTCCAGTAGGAAATCTTCAGAATTGGTAGGGGAGAAAATACTGGGCGTGGGGAGCCTGTTTGATGCCTCAGAAGTCATGCCACATGGGCAGCCGCTGCCACCACATAGTAGGACTACCTTTTTTTTTTTTTTTGGCATCTCGCTCTGCAGGGAATTTAGTAAAAGCACGTGAGTGTACATGTGCACAGGCACCCACATGTCCATTCATTTCAGCACTATGGCATTAGGATTCACTTTGAAGTGGAAGTTTTGCATTGGATAACTATTCTCCTGATCTGTTTTGGATGCAGATTGTTATTGATAAAATATTAGACCATAGCTTTTAAGGGGGGAGGGTGCTTCTCCATTAGACAGCTAACTTCCAGCACTTCTAGGAATATAGCTAGAGAATCAAACCAATTTGTAAAACTGCATTTTACACATAATGCCAGTGACATATATTTGTACATCTCTGGAACCTCCAGTCTGTCTCCCATATTTTCCCATGTGTTTAATAATAAGGGGAAAAAAATTCTAAAGTTTGCATCAAGTTTCAGCTTCCTACATATCACAGAACAAGTACCCCAAAATTTCTAGTGGCTACTTTGTCTTGAGACATTTAGGAATACAAAATACTTATTTTTATGCTTACAGTGTTTATACAGGTTTATTAACAGCAAGTACACCTAATTGATAGCATGATTTGCAATACATTTTGATACTTTCCCCACACTGTGGGGTCTAAAAAAATGACATCAACTGAAAAAAACACTTACCTTTTGCAGTCTCTCTGGGATCAGTAAAAAAAGAAATCACATCCTCAAGAAGTGGGACTGTACATATGTATATTTGTATAGACCATGTACTTACCTTGTATAGAAAAAATAATTTTAACAATTTGAATGAAAGGAAGACAGTAAGGAAGTCATTAAGGTTTTTTTTTTGCATTTTTATTTAAAAGAAGGAATTCCAAGTTAACCCCTATGGATTTTTTTTTTTTTAGCACAAGAAGACACTTGTAAAATGTTACAGCTTTTAAATCATCATCACTGGGGGAAGGGCAGTAACTCTGATCCTCATTTATGAATTTTGAAAATTTTTTCCTTTGCAGTCTTGTTTCCCTGCAGTAATATTTAGTCCTGTTGCTAGAATAGGTTAATATGCAAATTATATTCTGGAAGAAAAAATAAGTGACTTTCTATGTAACCAGTTAATTTAAAGGATTGCCATTGAAACAACACACAGAGAGCATGTGCTATACAGACACAGATCTTGTGTTCATTTATTTTTCTTTATTGCAGTGGATTATGGTTTATTTGATAATAAATAGACGTATTGAATTACTGCTACATTTCCTGTACAGATTATTTAATAAACCTTATTCCGATTTGCGTGGTACACTTTCGTTCTTACCTATTAAGGTTTCTCTCTTCGCCTTCATTGCTGATCCCTGATATACATGCTGGCTGCTCCAGCTTAAGTGCTGTTCTTCATTCCTTATAACTGGGCTTCTGCTCATGTCATGCCTTTTCTAGTGAGAGTGACTTAGCACAGTTCCTGGTACATAATAAGTGCTTACTGAATGCTCATATTTGTTGACTTATTGTGTCTCTAAAGTTACCAGTGATGAGTTCTTTAAGTAATCTAAGGCCTCATCCATCCCCACTTCTTTTTGGTATGTAACATCTTGGCCACCTACTCCTAAATAAATACACCAGCCAATCACGAGATGTAAATCATGACTATCAGAGCTGTATTATAAAAAAGGATTTCACTCTCCTTCCTTGGTTTCTATAATGATGCATTTAATTTTTCTTTCCTCCTGCCTCTCTGACCATCTTTCTGTTTCTGGGTTTGTTCCTACTCTCTGTTCTCAGTCTCTTACCCATGGATGACCCTCAGGATTCTGTCTCTGTCTGCTGCCTTCTCTCTCTGTTCTCTTCTTCTCTGGGATAATATGGTTACAATGTGCTTCTGTGATCAAAAAGATCAAGTAAATTCAAGGAACTATTAGGAACAATGTAAATAGTAATTATTTTCACCTTCCAATAACTACCATACTTTATGAAGCCATAGTTGATACATCAAGAAAAACAATGTAATTGAAGAAGATCTCAGTTTCCTTATTGGTAAAACAAGAGGATTGCTGATATCCAAGAATGATTCAGGACCAGAGAAAAATGATTAAAATAGCTGAGAGAATAAGGGACACTGTTTTATGTGGATGAACTAACATGATGACAATGGCCAGAAGGAAGAAGACATTATCAAAGTCTATGGAGACTATAGAAGAAGGGATGAGTATGGATTTGACCACCAAATCCTAGGATACCACTCAATCAATAAAGGTTAAGTGCCTACTATGTGCTAGGCATTGTACAAAGTACTGAGGATACAAAAAGAGGCAAAAGGTAGTCCTTGCCCTCAAGAATCTCTCAATCTATACCAGTAGTGGCTCTTATTACATAAGATTTTAATGAGGCAGTTTAATAACAAATTTAAAGATGAACTACTTTATGTAGTAAGTAGTAAACTTGAGGAGCTCATTCAGCTACAAGGTGATCAGAGTTGAAAAGAAATATTTGAGAAGGATTTAGCTAAATTCATGAATGATAAATATCCCTACAGAGTCATTTAAGGGAAACTAAGAAGAGAGGTAACTGGCATACGGGATAGAAGGCTGGCCTTAGCATACCTACAGTTGAATTGCCAAAGACCAGGAGTTGGGTGAAGCTGGGTGAAATCAGAAGTCTAGAGAAAACAAAAGTAAAAGAATGCTCAAGGTTCTGTCACTTCAAAAGCAAAAAGAAAAAAGTAGAATGGGGGAGAATTCTAGAATGGGTGGGGAGAAGATAATGGCATAAGCAAAGGCCACAGTGAGGAAATAGCTGAATAGGTACAATTTTATTCAACAACAAACATTTATTAAGCACTGATTATGTACAAGATACTGCGGTAGGTACTAGGGATACAGAGAAGAGAAAGGATACAGTCAGGAAGGAGATGACATATACACATATTATAATCCAAGATTGGGTGCTATGGAGGAAAGGAAAACATCCAGAGAAGGGAAATCAAACTGTGGTGGGTGGGTGCCTATAGAAGGGAAAAACATGAGATTAGGCTGGAAAAGTATGGTGAACTACACTGTGGAGGCTCTTAAATGCCAGGCTAAGAATCTTGAACTTTGTCCAGTAGTCAATAGAAAACCATTGAAGGGTTTAAGCAGAGTAGTAACCCTATCATATGTGAAAAAAAAAAAAAAAAAAAGATAATTCTGGCAGTGGTCTCATGGATAGATGATTGAAGGTTGGCAAGACTGGAAGCAAGTAGACCAGCATCTGCAATCCAGATGGTTAGAAATGATGGAAGCAATCAGAAAAGGAAGAAATCAATTCAAAAGATTTGGGAAGTACAATTGATAGGAATTGGTAACAATATGAGAGGTGAGGGATAGGAGTAAAAAAAAAACAAAGCATTAAGCATAGATGATTGGATGTATGTTGGGGTCATTGACAAATAAGGTCAGAAAAAGGAGCAGGTTTGGCATGTTTTTAAAGAATAAATTCTTTATTGGATATGCTGAGTTGAAGGTTCTGCTGACACATCCAGGAGAGGGCGGATAGTGGTCGGTCCAAAGTATAGTAGTAGTAGTAGTTCTAGAGCTCAGGATTAGAGATTTTGACTTGGGAGGCATCAAGGTAATAACCAAATCTGTGGAAATGAATGAGATTACTAAGAAGAGAGTGTTAAAAAAAAAAAAAGACTAAAGTCAAAGATGGACTTTGGGAAATAGTCACCCAAAGGGGACAGGAGGTGGAATTAAGGAAGGTATGATCAGAGATGTAGGATGAGAACCAGGAGAATGAAGCTCCTCTCTGATCCTGAGTCAGAAATGCTCATTCCTTTCTCTGACTAGCCCACTGGCAGTTCCCTGACCTTGGCATTTCATCTTTTGCCTCCATAAGTTTGCACAGGCTGTCCCTGCTAACCCTCTACACCTCCCATGCGTGAAATACATGCAATCTTAGAATCCTTTTCTTCTTTAAAGGCTCAGCTCATATGCCACTGCCTAGACTAAGCTTTGCCTACTCCCCATAGTGGTTAGTACTTTCTCCTTCTTTAAGCAATCATGTCTATACTTAGCTGTTTACATGAATTCCACCATCCAGGGGAATTTAAGCTCCCATAGAGAAGGCACTATTTTTGTTTTCTTTGTATCTCTATTTCCTAGCACATTGCTTTACATATGGTAAGGGGCAAAGGAAGGGAACAAGGATTTAGTTGTCACTTATGCTATATGTCAGGCATTCTGATAAGCGCTTCACAAATATCTCATTTGATCCTCACAGGAACCCTGAAAGGTAAGTGCTATTATTATCCCATTTTATAATTGAGGAAACTGAGGCACACAGAGGTTAGGTGACTTGTTCAGGGTCACACAGCCAGTGAGTGTCTGAGGCTGAAGCTGAACTCAGGTCTTCCTGACTCTGGGTCCAGCACTCTATCCACTGAACTGCCTCTAGTAGATGCTTAAAAAAGGCCAGTTGATTGTACTTTAAACCTCAGTTTTGTACTCTAATTATAGTACATTCTATTCTACACAACAACTATTTGATTCTATTGCATAGTTAGTATATGTCCTAATTCTCACCTCTTGCCATTCCCTCTCATTATAAGCGCCAGGAGGTCCAGGGCCATGTCTTAATTCTCTTTAAATCTCTTCCAAAACCCAGGACAGTGTTTTGCACTTATTACATCTTGTTAAGTAATTGTTGAATGAATGATGAATTAGTGAATCATGTTCTTTCTTCCATGGAATGTTTCTCTGGGCCATTGTCAGAGACAGAACATTGGTCTTGAGGGACATTGATGGGGCCAGTGTGGAATTTGTTGTTAAATTTAGTCTTATGAGTTTAGGGCTATGTCACCAGAATAGAGAGGAAAGAGATAATAGGAAAGCCAGGAGTGGGGAACCTGAGGCCTGAGGGCCACATAAAGAACTGCAGGCTCCCAATTCTGTGAAATTTGGATTCAGTCAAAAGGCCGCACTTAAGGACCTAGAAGGCCACATATGGCCTTAAAGCTGCAGGTCTCCCCCCACCCCCATCTCGACCCCCCTGGAAAGGCCCTTGATCTTCTAGAGATCAACATGGGGAGTGAAAGAATCACAGATTTAGAGAGAGAAAAGACTTTAGAGGTACCGAGTCCAACATCCTCCCTTTACAAATGTAGAAACTGAAGCCTAGGGAGGTGAAGTGATTAATATTATAAACTCCAGGACCTTCTGGAATTTATAATGGGAGGGAGGGACAGGAGGGGAGAATTAGGACATATATACAAGGACACATGGCTAGAATAAATGGCATAATTGTAATTCAGACTCAGGTCCACTGAATCTCAATCCAGGACCCTGCACACTGTATCACACCCCTGGAAAGCCTGGGACTAGCTCCATCTTTATTCCCAAAATAACCTGATTTAATCCAACAAACAATTGCTACTATGTGTGAAGCACTGTGTTTCTAGGGACTCAGACCTAAAATCCCATCTTCTGTTCTGTTCCTCCAATGGCCTGTCCCTGTAAAGAATACTGGGAATAGCATGAGACTTATTGAGATTCATATCCATCAGATCAAGTGAGAGATGATTTAGAAGCTGATTCAAAGGTTTGGAAGCATCAAACCTGGGCCCTAATAATAGAAGGGCCAATCAGGCCTTTACCTGGCTTCCAGTGTGGCCAACTCTTGGCACATATAGAAGAGTGTAAGATTAGGCTGCAAAGGTCGGGTAGTGCCAGACTGGGGACGCCAAATGGGCTTGGAACACAAACAACATCAATTCTACCCCTTGGTGGTTCTTCTTCTTCTTCTTCTTCTTCTTCTCCTCCTCCTTCTTCTCCTCCTCCTCCTTCTTCTTCTTCTTCTTCTTCTTCTTCTTCTTCTCCTTCTTCTCCTTCTTCTCCTTCTCCTTCTTCTTCTTCTTCTTCTTCTTCTTCTTCTCCTCCTCCTCCTCCTCCTCCTCCTTCTCCTTCTTCTTCTTCTTCTTCTTCTTCTCCTTCTTCTCCTTCTCCTTCTCCTTCTTCTTCTTCTTCTTCTCCTCCTCCTCCTCCTCCTCCTCCTCCTCCTCCTCCTCCTCCCCCTCCTCCTCCTCCTCCTCCTTCTCCTTCTTCTTCTTCTTCTTCTTCTTCTTCTTCTTCTTCTTCTTCTTCTTCTTCTTCTTCTTCTTCTTCTTCTTCTTCTTCTTCTTCTTCTTCTTTTTGGCAAGGCAATGGGGTGATGTGACTTGCCCAGGGTCACACAGCTAGTAAGTGTCAAGTGTCTGAGTTCAGATTTGAACTCAGGTCTTTCTGAATCCAGGGCCGCCTAGCTGCCCCTCACTTGGTTCTTTAGGTCACT